CCTTTGACACGGCTGCTATTTCTTTGCAATATGTAAACACTCAGAAGGATTTCCATGTTTGTTCTTCACCCCTCACAGCCAGTCTTTCACAGCTCATTGGGAGGATTGACATGAAGAAGCAGCCGTTTCACAGGCATTTGGTGGGGTTGGGATTTTTTTGGTGCAGTGCTTCTGTTTCCTCTTGGTTTAAATCCAGTTCTGCTCTTGTCTCAGCACTCTGGCACATGGCAGAAAAATGCATTGCTGTTGTCAGAAACACGACACTTACTGTCATCCTACATGGGCGTCCTTTAATACTAGAGCCCAGTGGAGGCTTCGCGCTACAAAGCATTTACTTTTCACTTCTCTTCCTACAGCAACTTTTGATGATTATAAAATTCCCCTTTAAATCTAAGCTGCTAATGTGTGGCTTTTTCCATGAAAACTGCCCGAGTTTGCCTGTGCTGCTGTAACTGTCTACCTTAACACAAACTTGCTTCCAAATTGCTCCTGGCAACAATTTTTCATCACAAGTAAGAAGGAACTGAAAAATCTCAAGATAAATCTAGAAATTACAAGCCCTGACTCCACAGCTTTCACACAGGCTTGATTTAATAAATCTGCCTCTTTGCAAAACCAATGTAGTTTGACTGAGTTTAAAAAATAAAACCATAAAAATTCTCCTTTACTGAGGAGCCAAATCTTCCAAGTCCCTTGCTAGGGCTGGAAAACAAAAAAATTCCTTTGGCAAATTTTTCTTAGAATTTCATCCCAAAAGAAGGAAAATCTGAAAGCCTTTAGAAACTTCCCTGTGTTCTACATGAAAAATAAGCGGAGACCTGTAATCCAAAGCAGCACAGTGATGGGAACACATGTATTATGAATAATTCTGGTAAATCAATTATGGTAAAAATCTAGGCACAGAAATGTTAATAATATAGGGATTATGATCCTGAATTTCATTTCCAAGAGAATTCTGGCCGCAAATTCTAACCAGTAATTTCCTTAACTAACCTGACAAGGAAATATCTTGATGAAATATTTTCAGACAGATTTATTCCATGCACACAATTACTCAGAAGTCCTATTATTATACAACATACTTTAGCAAATGCTGATTTAAAAATAAAGTCTTTTCCACAAGTCAGACTGACCCAGGTTAATGTAAAACAGGATTATAAACTGATTTTGTTAAACTAATTCCAAGGACTGAATTGACGTTTTCACTGCAGTTTAAACCAGTGCAATTTTGTTCTGTTTTAATATGATTAGGAATTCACCACACTGAAATAGAAATCAGCACAGAAACAGGGAAACCAAATTGGTATTAGCCTAGGTGAAGATAAGGCTGATTCAATCAATGCTGATAACAGCTAAGGTCCTCTGGGTCCCTTCTGTATCTCCTTCCAGGATTAAGGCATGCATGCATAGGGAAGGGTGTTACCTTCTATTAAATATAAATTTTAACATATAACTAGTATAATAGTAATCAAAATGCAAATTAATATTATTAAACCAGGATGACATTCACATTACCATTAAGAAAAGTCTCATTTAAATATATATACACACATCTGTCTACCTATATATATGTATACATATATAAAAATACATATCTCTTTTTAATCTCTAGGTGGGATCCTATATTTCCAGTAAAATGTTTCCTCCGCCAGCCAATTGTACTGGGCAGGATGGGTTGAAATATCAATGCTGGGCTAATGCTATGAATTACTGTCTTTGAAGAGAGGGTTTTGGGCCTGCTTTAAACCCATCTGAAGAAACTCTCCATTGATTTCAATAGCTTTAGATGAAGACTTTAATGTCTTGTAGTTGGCTTTATAATGGCTTTATAATGAAGATGAACTAGAGGGGTTTTCACTGACTAGCCTTCTAACAAAGACACCATGCATTTCACAAAAAAAAATGTGCTGAAAAAGTCAGGGAAATAATAACTCAAATATTGATAAAGTAACAAAAAATAAAAGGCACAGAAAATATTTGTTATCCTTATTTATTTAACAAAGAAACATAATAAACTTGAATTTTTCAAGGTACAAACAGATTAATATGTCCTATGATATTGGCTGATATTTTCCTTGCTCTTTTTGTAGCTCAAGTGATTCATGGGGTAGTCTTTATTGAAGAAATCACCAGAAAAAAACGGTGACACTCACCATGCTTATAGACAGTGTGGACCAACTATTGAGTTAGTGTCTTTAACTAAATCATTGCACTGGGAGGTTGTATCATTGCTAGATTTGGATCAGCATCTCCATTGTTAAAGATCTGCAAGCGAGGTTATTTGAAGTTTTTGAGGGGTGTTCTTCAAACCATACAAAGATACCATTCGCTCTTCAGTTCTAAAGAAATATACCACAAAACAATATAAAACCCAATAGAAAACCAACCTTTCAGTGACAAATGTTTTGAAAGTAATTTACAATTCAGTTTTAGAAATTTGCACTGTAAACATCTACAGTTAGGACCCTCTTTCAGATTTTTTTGCATGATGATTTTGTTTTTTTCACAGGTTTTGGGTAGAAGACAGAACCATTTGTAACTGCATCAGTACTATAGAGTCTCACAGCAATGGCAATAAAAAGTTCAAAGCAAGGGTGAAATGACCAGAAGAAGAGCTCTTCTCTTAATATTATCAGTGGCCAGCTAATCATTTCTTTATAACCTGTTCCGTTACAGGGCCTGACTCTTAATATCAGTTGAATATTTTCAAACAGAAGTTGCAAACGATTAAAATACTTTTAAACCAGCATGACCAGCACCACACTGCTGAGTGCAGGCTGATTGTTCCCTTGGGTTTTGAACAGTTTATATTGTTGTGAAAAAAAAATCACATAAGAAATGCTCCTTTTTCTTAGTATTTTTCCCTTTTTTTTTTTTTTTAATTCTAAAGCTTTGAAAGGAAGTAATTTTACCAGATATCAGCCAATAAATGCTTGTTCAGCAAGTAACGAATGCACTATTTTCTAATTAAACAGTTTCATTATAGGCAGCAGCTCATTGATAATGATCAATAAATCCCATTGAGAAGAAAATATTTTAATCAGGAAGTTGTGTCCTCTGTGAGTGTCAGCCACTCTATAAACTTACAAGATACATATATACGTATAGATATATGTCTGTGTGTGTGTATATATATATGCATATAAATATAAAAATCGCGTACTCTTTCTGGGTGATATGTACAATCAGAATAACATTACAGCATAAATACACAGGAAATCTGTATAAAGTTTCTCTAATTTGAGAAGCCTTCAGCAATTTTGGTTTCGGGGGGTTAGGGGTGGGAAGGGAGGAAAGAATAAATTGTGTTTTCACTTTAAGGAATGAAGAGTAGTTCCCTTAAGTTAGAATCTAATTGCATACAAGATTTAAAGGCAACAAAATGAACAGAGGAACAGCCCTATATTATACATCGTAGACATGGGGTTAGAAGGGCAAGAGATCATGATTATAATACTTATAGAGTACGTTTCATTCCCTTCTAGCACTTTGCAACCAAAAGTCTTACAACACACCTGTGAGGTAGGTATTATTATCCCCATTTTACAGATGGGTAAACTGAGGCACAGATAGGTTAAATTATTTGCCTAAAAATCATGTAGTAAGAACCCCAGGAATCCTGATGGCAAATCCACTGAATTGATCAACAGACCACTCTCAAGTGAATACCTGAGACACCTCTCAATGAATGGAGAGAATATATTAGCCCATATTTACACAGACGTATCATCATTCTTTTGACATGTTGTCTTTACATAGCTTGACTTGTTTAGAGGACAGAAAACAATGCCCATAGATAAACTTGACTGTAATATGTTGTTTTAATTCTTGTTGCCAACCCCATGTGGATTTTGACTCCTTTACAACCTGGGATGTAACTAAATGTCAGTGACAATACACCTTATATACATTCTTCATATCTTTGCTTCTCCAAGGTGAAAAGCACAATTACTCTTCCTTAAAGTGCAATGGCTCATTACAGAAATCTCAGGATTTTCAGTGAAGTCCAACGAAACCCAAGTACAATCAGTCTGAAGGTGAAAAGAAAGAAATTGTAATCACAGAATCACAGAATCCCAAGGGTTGGAAGGGACCTCAAGAGATCATCTGGTCCAACCCCCCTGCAAGAGCAGGGTAACCTAGAGTACATCACACAGGAACTTGTCCAGGCGGGCCTTGAATATCTCCAATGTGGGAGACTCCACAACCCCCCTGGGCAACATGTTCCAGTGCTCTGTCACTCTCACAGTAAAGAAGTTCTTCCTGATGTTAACGTGGAACCTTCTATGCTCCAGTTTACACCCATTGCCCCTTGTCCTATCACTGGATATCACTGAAAAAAGCCTAGCTGATGATGGACTTATCTCTATATTCCTCAAATACTTTCTCACATTCTATTGTGGCTGAAAGTTTAATAATAAACAATAATCTATTTTAGCATGTAAACCCTCTAATACTTATCTGCAGCCATATATTCCACCTTCCATCCCACTGTCATTTCTTTGGCCTGGAGCTGATGGACACATCAACTGTAAATATTACTTTGCCTACAGGAATGAGGATATATATATTTTCTAGTAGATTCTTTTCATTGGTTCCTCTATTTCTTGTCCTTCCCCAGTAATCTAACTGTACCATCTGAGAAAATGAAAGATGGACACTGAGTAGAAAGGATTCAAAACCTCAAAATTTACATGCAGATCCAAAGGCAATTCCCCTCCCACCTTCTCCATCACACTGTCTCAGCTGTTCTGCACGGTACAATTGGCGTTTTTATTATAAGTATCAGTAGTATTAGTATTTTTGGAGTAACACTGATGCGTAGGGTTTCCAATAAGGCTGCTTAGCTCAGTGTTCTTGGGGAAAAGGTAACCTATCCCACTACCTTAACAGAAACTTTGCCAGCATAGATGGTGCTTTGGAGCACTACCCACAAACGTGATGCACTACTTCTATGGTGAGTTTGACTGCAGCATTCAAAGCAGATTCTTGAAACATACTAAAAAAATTAGTGCTTTTATTAACAGTTTTACAAACATAATCCATTACTGTCTAGTTTCCTGTAGGATAGAACAAGCCATTTCTTTAATTATTTTGACATCATTTCCTTCTCCATTTTTTGTGTTTCTGCTGAGGAGCAGTTGCAAGTCCCAGGAGGGAGGGCTTAGTGTAATAAACAGTTAAAATGTTGCTAATTCGATAGTTTTATTTTGCAAAAACTTTCCTCTTCAAGTGATGGGGATCACACAATTTCCTATTATACCTTGACTCAGAGTTCATCATGAAGAAGAGATTATAAGGATCATTAATCTCCATGGAAAAAGAGACTTTAGTCTTTTAAGTAAAAAAATATCAAATATAATAAATTTATGAAAGACCATTCACAACATATACAGTAAGTGTTACATTTTGCTACAGCAGCTGTGATATTTTTTTTTTTCTTTTTAGAATGCAAGGTCATACATTGCCATAAGTAAACACACTAATATGAGTAAGACCTTAAATGAATGTATACAGCCAGGCTTTATCTGTGGATATACACTGTGTTTACTGTTTTATAGTCTAGCATATTCTTATTCACACCATTGATATAACAGCTATGACCCTGCAAATATTCTTCCTGTGCATATATAAATATAAATATTGAGCCAACTCAAAAAGAGCAGGGTCAAAGGTTATATGACTTATTAGATTCCTGTAGTTAAGGGTAAAAACTCCATTGTTTCTTTTGCAACTAATTTTTAATAAGAAGGCTGCTTCAATCGTTGTGTAGTTACAGCGTTACATTCTGTAAACAATATTTTAAAGCATTCTAAACAAACATTTAAACAATTGATTCTTTATCCTTGTCTGGCGAGAGAAGACAATCTATAGCCTCATCGCTTTTGCTGGAGTCCGTCATCTTTAGCTGGAGATTATCACTTGTACCTCTGGTGACACTGTCATAGGATGGAGGGAAAGATGTGGAGGACAGAGTTTCTGATTTGTCTATTGGCCTGCCGTAGTTTTCATTCATCATGTATGCAATTAGACCCTCCTTCTCAGGTGCATCGTCCTCGAGGATGCTGCCGTCAAAAGTTCTGTGCCGGTACAAGTAAGACGCCTGCTTCATGGAGCGCCGAAACAAATGTTTCCTGTAGGCCCGCTGGATGACAATGGCGGAGACCTCTTCTTGTTTCCGTCTGAGAGTTGTTGTAATGGGTTCATAAGAGATCTTAGATGGATTTGCTGCCATGAACTTTTCTTCCATCTGTATTTTAAGGGCATCCATCTCTCCAGATTCTCCTAGCACCCTTTTTGTAAAAGCAAACAAAATATCCAAGCAATGGATCCTATCTCCACTGACCATGGGCAGGTCCATTGCTATGAGTTTGATTTTGTTTGGTTTTGCTATGCGCAAAGGTTCTGACAGCGCATCTGCGAAGTCTGAAAGTGCAGAATACTCAATAAACTGAGTGGCTTCAGGGTCAAACTTCTCCCAGATTTCATAGAACATATCAAAATCATCCTCGCTTAGAGGCTCTGTACTTTCCTCAGTGGCTACACTGAAGTTCTCTAGAATAATGGCTATATACATGTTTACAACAATGAGAAATGATATAATGATATAGGTAACAAAGAATAAAATCCCTACGGCAGGGCTTCCACAGTCTCCCTTTGAACCGTTTGCATTTGGAAGGTTTGGGTCGCAATGTGGTGGTCCAGTGTTTAAAATAGGGTTGAGAAGACCATCCCAGCCAGCTGATGTTGTAATTTGGAAGAGACAGAGCATGCTGTTAGCAAAGGTTTGAAAGTTGAACATGTCATCAATCCCATGCTCCTTCTTAACATAGGCAAAGTTAGCCATGCCAAAAATGGCATAAATGAACATGACCAGAAAAAGCAAGAGGCCAATGTTGAACAGAGCAGGTAGGGACATCATTAAGGCAAACAGGAGAGTTCGAATTCCTTTGGCTCCCCGGATGAGTCTTAGGATCCGGCCAATCCGAGCCAAGCGAATGACTCTGAAGAGTGTGGGAGAGAAGAAATATTTCTGGATGATATCAGAAAGTACAGTGCCTTGAAAAGAAAAGAGACAGAGAGTTAACACAGGCTTTCCTTTAAAACAGTGAGTCAGGATTATGGTCAAAATCGATGAAAAGGTCTCCAGATGGGAAGACCCATGATAACGGGAATGTCATTGTCATTAATGTTTTCATGCCCGTTTAACCCATGCAAACTTTGTTGATACTATGAGCAAAGGTGTCAATGACTGCAGCAGTATTATGAAGGGAAAGCTTGTCTATTGGGAATGAGAAACCAGAAGCAATTCAGGCAGAAAACAGGTATCTGCAGCTTTTGGCCATGCCGCACCTGAGAAATTCAACCTGCAACTGGCTAGAATTTTTCTGATATGATAGCATTTTGGGCTGTAAAATGTTAGCAAGTGAGATGGCGTGCTGGGCCTGTTTTTCTGAGCCACCACGAGTACAGTGCAAGTTCCTACTGGAAATCTGCTTGGTTGGTTGTTTGCTAATTAATTTTTCCAGTTTCCCTAATGGGCTGCAGGGGAACTAAGAGCTAAGATTGTACTAGCAAGAAATGAGTTTGCATCCTTGTAGCCAAGCTCTTCCTGCAGAAACAGAGCATCTTGGTCCAGGTTGTCTTATGCCAACAGCCCCTGGGTGCACTGAGCCCTGATGAGCTCTTGTCTCCAAGCCCAGCCTGGGAAAAGGTTCACTGGCATGGCTTGAGACCTCATGCTGGAACAGCCTGGTTGATCACTGGGCAGCACTATGACCAATGTGACAGCTCTGGTTAACTGTCTGCTGTGAACCTATTCAGAGCATCCAGCATCAAGGCTCTGATGACAGCTGCGTTGTAGTGATGTTCCCTGGGTAACCCAAATCTGTGAAATCGAGGTGGCCCAAGGCCCCCAAATTACAGGCTGCTCTCTGCATTGGGGTCTTGCAGGTTCCCAGTCCACCAGCGAGAATTTATATCAACAGGAGCATCTAGTGAGAAGATGACTCTGTTTTCCTAACATGACACTTTTTCATTCACCTATTCACTTCTCCAAAACCTTTTTGGAAGTGATGAATTTCTGAGTTCCTTCTGCTCACTGGAGCAGCCGGTCATCCTCCAGTTGCTACTCCAGCTTCAATGGAAACTATTTGGCAGGACTTCAGATTCATATTTGACCTGCACTTCTTGTAGCTCCTAAAATACGATAGCTGGTTGGGGCTGCAGAACAGCAAAAGGCACAAATTAACAATCAAACTGTGTCTTTCTGTTTCTTCCCTCTGATATATGGGGGTGTGGTCCTCTAAGGACAACAGGGCTGAGAACAGCCAGACTCACTGCACCTGCCCAAGCCTTCCCTGAAGGACTGTTTCATTCTGTTGCAATAAAAAGTAAATAGCAAAACAATAACAATCCACATGTATTCTTTTCATGTGGCGTTTTTACTTCTCTGGCTGTTATGCAAAACTGAGGTTAAGTGTATGGTGCCAGTTCTGGAAAGTGTTTTGTCACCATAAACCATTATATATACATTGAAACCAACACTATGCTATGCTAACACTCATAATTTTGCTGATCACACAAGTTACTGTTAGGCAGTATTATGTTGTGTTATACTTACACATTTAAAAAATACACCTAGCATCCAATTCTCTGAGTTGAAAGGGTATATTACTGAATAAAGCCTTTAACTTTGACTATTTAATTTTATGTCTGCCTTTTTAACTTTGAAGCTTGAGTGAAAATCCAGGTTCACCTACCTACAATAGACAGAATCACAACAACAAAGTCAAATATGTTCCAGCCATTGGTGAAGTAGTAGTGTCGCAGGGCCAACATCTTGATGATGCACTCCCCAGTGAAGATGGCAACAAAAAGCATGTTTATTTTATGAAGGATGTTAACTTTTTCTTGACTTTGGTCATCCGTTTCCACCATCATGGTAACCATGTTAAGGCAGATGAGAATCATGATGGAGACATCAAAGGCTTGTTTTGAGACGACATCAAAAATAAAACCTTGGTATTTGTTCTGGAGGAAAGGAGAAGATTTAGTTAGGAAATTTGCATCATGTCAAAATGATGACATTATTGTCTCCTGATTGATCGGAAGGTAGAGGGAAATAGACAATCTACTGCTTCTGATTGGAACTTTATAAACTTAAAGATTATGATGAATGGTTCAAACCCATTTACTCCTAATACTTCTTGAAACTGCTGAAAAAAGACTCTGGACTGGGGCCATGAATTCATTCAATGCAGGCATGTGGCCACTAGCATGTATAAACTGCATATGTAAACTGGATTTTTCATCAATATTGCAGAACAGAAGGAATTTTGTATCACAGGTCACTGGACTTGCAAATATTGTCAAACGTCAAAACTTATAACTCTAAGTGGCTTTCATCTGGGAGAGTTTACCCTTCCTGCATGGAGAAGTTGAATTGCATTTATTCTATTATATAAATATTCAGCTATCACAGGAAGTTCAACCACATGATGCTATTCTTACCAGTGGCCTTGGGATTGGCTTTTGAGGTTTCTTAGATCCCAGCTTTTTCATTGCATTATAATACTTTTTCTGTTCTTCTGTCATAAAGATGTCCTGGCCGCCTAAGTATAGGGTGAGAACAAAGCTATTACTTTTGACGAAAAGAGCTCCACTGCCCCCATCCAAAGTTCAGGGCTGAATTCTCTTGTATTTTCTTATTTCCCCTTTCAGGTAGCTTTTATCAAAATATCTAAGAAGGTGTGCTGGTTTTAGCTGAGATGGAGGTAGTTTTCTTCACAGTGTCTAGTATGAGGTGACGTGTTGGATTTGTACTGAAAACAGAGTTGATAATACAGGGATGTTTTCATTACTGCTGAGCAGTGCTTGCACTGAGCCAAGGCCTTTTCTGCTTCTCACCCCACCCCACCAATGAGAAGTTTGGGGGGTACACAAGGAGTTGGGAAACAGCTGGGACAGTTGACCCCAATTGACCCAAGGGGTATTCCATAACATATGACATCTGCTCAGCAATAAAAGCTGGGGAAGAAGGAGGAAGCAAGGGACATTTGGAGTTACACCATTTGTCTTCCCAAGCAACCATTATAAGTGATGGAGCCCTGCTGTCCTGGAGATGGCTGAACACCTGCCTGATGATGGGAACTGGTGAATGAATTCCTTGTTTTGCTTTGCCTGTGCATGCAGTTTGTGTGGGTTGAGACAAGCTGTCTTTGTTCCAAGCCATTGGTTTTCTCACTTTTACTCGTCATATTCTCTTCACACAGGGGAGGGAGTGCTTAGCTGCTGTCTGGGGTTAAACCCTAACAGAAGGGCTTGATGAAGTGCAGTGCTAGGAGCTGCTTATGGTATGGAGGCAAACGGCAGGAGACACAGAGCAGTGCAGTCAGCCAAGGAGGAGTAAGACTTGGATTATGTCTCCAGTCACGGTAAGTCTGAGGTGAGAGAGGAAAATATAAGAACCTCAGCTCTTTGTTCAGAGACTAGGGAGTAGTGAGAAACACAGCTCTCAGTCCAGGTTGCTTCTCCCTGACCCTGAGGGACACCGGTTGTGCATGGGGGCCACCAGGGTGGTCTGTGTTCCTGTGGCAGTTTGTGCCACAGAACCCATCTGCATGGAGTTGCTTCGCTACTTTCTGTATGGTATATAATCCCTCAGCCTGTACTTTCGGATGCTCATCCTATGGGAGCATTAGGGGCTGTTACAACTGTGCTTTTGTAAAAGTCCTGCAAGGTGGTTTCTTCAGCTGTTCTATCAATGCTAATCTCAAGGCTAATATGGCAAAACCACTGCTTATAAAACTATCTCTTGCCCGGGTCTCTGCAGCAATCATAACATGATGTGTAGCATATGCACTACTTATCTTTTTCTTTTGTTGGTTAAAATTGTCAATGATAACACCAATGAAGAGGTTCAATGTGAAGAAAGACCCGAAGATGATGAAAATCACAAAGTAGAGGTACATGTATAAATTACATTCCCATTCAGGCTGCTCCTCACACTGCAATGGGAAAAGGGAAAAAGTGAAAATGGCACCATCTCTGCACATGTCAAAATATTAATGCAGTTAAAAGAAAACTCTCCATTTGCAAAGAAGATTATGAAACAGGAAAAACAGTGTAACTCCCATTAGCAGACTCAGCCTCTTCAGTCTGTTTGAAGTTTACTACTGGCATCTGCAAGGCTGCAGTAATTTCAGCTCCAATTCAGAACACTTTCACAGCGATCACACTATCACACTGCTCCAGAAAGTGCAACTTCAGAATAAATCCTATAAAATGTTCTCAGTCTGAACCCAGAAGGGAAAAAGAATCAATTTTCTGATTATCCCTAATCTTATATGAACCAATGGTACTTACAAAAAGCAAAAGTATGATCACAGTAAAATCTAATGCTGCTGAAATCCGCTGTATTTAGAAGTACAAATTTTCTTTTATGAAGGGTCGAAATGAGTAAGAGCTCTTGCTGAAGAACTGAATAATATAGTCCAATAGCCTCAAATCACATGGTTCAGATTTACCCCATAAACTCCAGGTATCTAATCAACATGCCAGAAGCCTGCATTTCCCCAAATGCCAGATTTTCTTATGTGAAACCCATGAGTTTAATTCTACAGCAAGGAGAATACACACACATGGACATGTAGTACAAGAATCAATCATCTGTAGCCATGTTATGCAAAGGTGATTCTTTGTCCCTATGATGCCATGATATTTTTCCACCCATTATTCTTAGAGTTAGGGCTCTACTCCCTGTTGCTCAGTTTAGCCTGCCAAGATCCTGGTACCAGAAAGCTACCTCAAAAATTAACAGTAAGTGTAATCTTTTTCCTCTAACATTATTAAAAGAGGGAAAGAAGACTACAGGTCCTTCAATAAAAGAATAAATGAACCACCCTATGTGATGCAGCAAGGGAATTTTTTTTTAAATTACAGAATCATAGAAAGGTTAGAGCTGGAAAGGACCTTATTGTTATCAGGAAACCTGAAAGCTGAACAGGATGCAGGTAACAACTGGGCAGTCACCAGCACCCAGAGCTTCAGTAGACCTCAAGCCAGAGCTGGAAGCTCACACCAGCCTCCTTCTCTGCCATGAGCTCCTCCACCCTCTTTGAGTGGAGCTCCTGGTTGCAGAGAAGAAACTTGCTCAAGATGAAGATATAGGGAGGGCTGACCATGTGTGCTGCAGAGGAATGTAATTTAAACCCAGAGCTTTTAAATAGGTTTTATTATTAGAAGTTAGATCCTTGAAAGATACAGCAGTCAACAGGGAGAGTGGAAGAAACAGAGAGGACAATTTAGGTTTTTGGTAGACTCAGTCTCACTCTGGAGGTGCCTCTCTGTGCTGGGAGTTTTGTAGTACAAAGAGATAAATCAGTTTTGTGGAACTGAGGGCTATATTTGTTTTAATCTCAGGGTTGTGGTGCTTCAGTAGCAACTAAGAAAAATGAAGGTCTGCAATTGTCTCCACCAGAGCAAGACAGGGACTAGAAACCTGCATGTACTTTTTGTTGTTGTTGCTTTTGTTGTTAAACACCATGAATGCTTCAAAAGTCAATGGAAAAGGAAATTATTAAATTATTTGTAACGACTTACCTCTCGTGAATCCACTGCTGCATACATGATATCCATCCAACCTTTAAATGTGGCCTGAAAAAAACCCACAAAATAGATAATTAGATATATTAAATAAGTATATCTTGAAATGACAGTATCATCTCTATGATGAGTTTTCAAAGTGCAATGCTGAGCATGTTCTTCACAGTTAATGAATTGCCTCTCCATTAAAGAGTTTATGTTCATTTAGGTATTTAAAATCTACAATTGTTTTCTCCTGGATTTTCTCATTCATGTTTTCTGATCTTCTGCACTTCTAGGGATAAGACATATATTTTGAAAAAAACTAAGAAGATATTTAAGACAGGAGTGAAAACATGGCAACTAAATCTTTGGAAGTTTTGATCTTAAGTATTTCAAGAAATGAAGAGATACAGCTACACAGAACAACTCAGAGTGCTGTCACGCACAAGTGTTGCACCGGTGAAATGGATCCCATCCATGTTGCTTGTTCGGACATATATATAATTGTTTAAACATAGAGGGATTCCACAGTGTCTCCTACTGGAACCTGGAAGGGAGAAAGGGCAGTGACAACACTCCTAGGAGAAACATGTAGAAGTGATTTTTACTGTTCTATAGTAAAACCATGACTCTTCGCTCTAAATATATGCCTCTCATTAGACACAGCCTGAGGCCAAGCACACCTGGCATTAGATCTGACTCTGGCCTAAGCCACGTTGCCTTTATATTGGTTCTCTGTGTTTGTTTCTCGTTTGACTTCTGACCCATTTAGACTTACCCTGGATTTAAAATCAGTGTGAGAAGATAATGAGGTCTTTATGGATTTATTCATATAATCAGATTTACACTAGCATGCATGAAAGACCAGCACCCTGTATTTTTTTGCATTGTATTCATACTTCGGTTGAATTTTGTCCTGGTGTGTAGGCACACAATTCTGGATAACACTAATAGGAATTTGTCCAGTGGTTCCCGGGAGAAACCTAGGCATTTGTGTTGATCTAGGTATATCCAGCAGTTTTAGAAATGCTCCATTGCACATTCTCTATTACTAAATTAAAGCCTGGAAGAAATGCTGCCTTCTCATTTCCCTCTGAAGGCTACTGAGGGCAAAAAAAGTGTAGCACAAGAAGTCAACAGTATTTCTCATGAAAGTATATATAAACTGCTGTGTGAAAGTTGCATTCTTTTTTATCTACTGGTTAAAAAAGATTAAATGTCCCAAATCAGAACCCTTTGGAAATTCTATTCCATGGTACTCTGTGTTAAAAACCACTTTAGATGTAAAGTGTTTAAAGGAATGATCATCAATTTTACTGTAACAAATTATTATTGAACCTGTCAAGCTGATCCTCCCTAACTGTTCTAATATTTTCAATTTTTGTTCATCTCTTTCTAATCTGAAAAATTTTCTTGTGTTATTACAGTTGCTTGCAGATTCCAGCTCAAAGTGCTGTTCAGTAAGAGTGGATAGGATGGAAGAAGAAATCCTTTCCCTGTATGGTATGATCTTAGCCTGTATTTTTCTCCCACCTGGGAGGAAATCTTGAGTACCTATTTTACCCCTTGATGTGTACCACAGACAAGAGAGACTCTACTGCAAGGCACACTGGTTTATAGTGATAACAGATGGTAAAGTGATCTGACAAAAACAAATATTAAGAGAATGAAGTACTGTGATTTTCTGGCTTTCCCAGTTGTCCAGAAGTGAGGCAATTAAAAATCCATGGGGCTTCTGGAAATCTTCCCTAGACACTTCAACTGCAGAGGGTAAAAAATACTGAGAATAAAAGAAATTATAACACTAGGAAAAAAATGATTTATCTGGAATTAGTAACCACTTACAGTCTGGATAAGGAAGTGACAAAATCTTCATGGGAGTGTTTGTGATATTATCCTGCCTGGAAGCAATCCAGAGAAACACTATTTTCTACTGAAACTGTCATGTGATGAGATTATGTACCGATAAACTCATCTTGGGATGGGATTACATTTTGTTATTTGACTGGTGGTTAAAGCTGCAATGCAGTAAATTAGTGGGGAGGAGGATGGCGCTAACTGCCCTCAAACCAAATGATGCCTTAAAATAAAGACAGCCTTTAAATCTGCAAGGATTTGGGATGTTTTTTTTCCCTGAAAAGGACTGTAATAGTGCAATAAAAATGACTGCTTTTGACAGCAGAAATACTGGTATTCACATTTCTGAAATGCTTCTTTAAGCATTAGTGTTGGTGAGAGAAACTTGTGAAAGCTAAAGCACAGCCATTAACAGTAGAGCCAAATCAAATATATTTAAGTTGGCTATGCTACCTCCACTGTCTGCCGGCTTTCCTGTTGATTTTCTCAGTTTGTTCAATTTTGTCATAGCAGCAATTTTATACGAAACATTAGTTTTATATATATTTTATGTTGAGATGATTTGCTGGGGAGAGCACCACTGAGCATTGGACCCACCCCAAAGGTCTTCATTGTGCTGGACTACATGGGCTCCAAGGGCTCTGCCTCTGCTCCCCTCGAATTTCCACCAGTAATTCCTTATGGAAATACTGCTTATTCCTGACCTTTGGACATATGGGGAAATCTACCCTAGTGCATCAGTTTATGGTTTGTTCAGAAGCACAGATTTTTTGTGCATTTTACATCCACACTGAAAGTAAAATCTAGCTTTATGCTTTACAGAAGTGCAAGAGATTGTGTAACTCAGTAACTTTAGACACACGCTGCTGTCTCATGACCATTTGTAGCTGATTTATGAGCTCAGTCATGACTTTGAACCTGGCACGAGTGGTTCATTTGACTCTGCAGCTCCTGATTGCTGTACTGCTCTAGGAGTGCTTCTGTTATCTTCCCATGCCTTATCTGGAGTCCCAGAGTGATGAAGATTTGTAGGACATATGAGATGTAAGTCTGTTCCTGCCTAAGAAGACCTTCTCCAAGCAACCCAGGTGCTGGGTGAGAGACCACTTGCTTTCTTGTTCTTCAATAAATTGCTGAAATGTCAAGATATGTTGTGAAAAAATAAGAGGAGGTCATCATAACATGAAGAAAATGATGCTTCAAGAGAAATGAAAAACTCCTAATGGAAATTTAAGATATTTCTTTGTTCAGCTCAAGTACACATTTATAGAAGATAGGTGCTGTGATCTGCAAAGCAATTCTGGGAATATAGAAAAAGCATTACTGAAGCAGTGGGTTGTAGCAGTAATTTTTTTCCTGCTAGATTAGGGTGTTAAGTGTGTTAAATCCCCAGAAAAGTGGAACATCATTCTTGAAAATTAGAAAGTCATGTTAACAAAGATCTTTTCTTCACAGTGAATGAGACATTTCTCTTGCTTGTAAAGTGAGCAGACTACCTCCTATTTTAGTAACCTGTGGTGAGACAATTTGTTTGTTGAAGAAGCTTGCAACCTGACTGACCACTTCACATAAATGTTTTCTCAGACTCATTAATTTAAAGTAGCATCTTCAGAACAACATGATGGATCCTAAACAAGACAGGAAAAGAGCAAAGGATATTTGAGGAAAATTTCATGTAGTTCTCAACTACACTGTTAGCAAGTCTGTCTCTGGATAGTAGTAAGCCTTAAAGTTTCCATAGTAGCAACTTCTCGTTTCTTTCAAGGATGCTGTAGAAATGAAGACAGAACATTAGGCAGACAGATTTGTTTTACATATATTCCATTTGGATTTTCAGACACATTCAGGCATCCAAAGGTAACTTCAGAGTCACTTAAATAGTGTGTTGCAGCAGCTGAATATGTCAACAGTCAAAAGACAAGTCCCACTTAAAAGCTCGTATTTTGGATCCCAGAGGGTTGTAACCAAAATGCCTATCTCATCATTGCTACGTACTGTCTCAGTGTGCAGAAAGATGCATGGATGTGTCTGTCTCTTTAGGAGAGATGAGATGTTAACTGATCCCCTGCAATTCCCACAGCAGTTTGCTCATGAAATGCAACCCCATAAGGATGACATTTGGCAAGCAGCACCTGTAACCAACACTCCTCAGCTGGAGTCTAGCAAAGGAGATCCAGATGTTTGGGCTCCTTCTCTGTGGGTGTCATCTTTACATTTCATTGCCTAAGACTGTCATTAGCAACAGACATAAGAGCTCCAGGTGCAGGATGAAAGTTAAAATCAATCCTCTAATGGCATCTGGCTCTTACCCCTCCTCTTGGAAGAAGGAGCCAAACACCTGCTGTGCAAGGTTTTAGGGCTCCCTCATTTTCTGCCACAATCAGTTTGCCCAGCCTTCACGGACACTATATTTATGGCACATCTTTTGTACTTCTGCAACTGGAAAAACTACTTCTCTGCTACCCAATACAGGATCACAGGTTTGAAAGAACCCTGCAGGGTCATCATGTCCATTTTCAAAAATGGACAGCAGTACTAGAAATCAGCAGTACTAGACCACCCTTTCAGAAATGTGCTGAGATCCATCTTATGACCAGTTACGTTTCTTCTGCCACCACTGATCGCAACAGAAGGCAGCCCCATCTGGTGAATGCAACCAGTATCACCAATGCCAAGTTCCCAGGAACTGATACTGCAGAACAGCAGAGAAGACTGCTTCAGGATACTCCTCAGGCAATGCTAATTTGTGAAAAGTTGTAGGTTTTCAGAAAGCTGGGGTTTGAACCTTCTAAAAGAAATGGTGAAGGAATAACTACAACTCTGATGGAGTTCTTCACTGAACAAACTAGTCATCTGTTATGCAATCATGGAGGAGATAAGAAGCTTCAGTTAAGGTATAGTATTTTAAACCTTAAAATTTTTGCTCAGCTGAATTGAGTGTTTAAATAAAAGGCAAACACTGTATAGAATGGAAAACCTAATTAAAGACATTCAAAGTGAATTAATCTGCCCTTCATGGGTGAGATGAAAATCATAATTACAAGCAAAAGATAAGAGATAAAAACTCTAGCAAGTTCAGCTTTATGTCATGGAAAGAACCAAAAGTTGTACCCATTCTAACCTTTCTGCTTTCCAGAGATTATGAAAGCAAAGACTCAATGGAAAGTTGTCAGAAGATCTCAGACTCAAAAGTATATGTACCAGGAGCAGAATATATAAGGATAAGCATCTCTACAGGAAAGGAAAGACACTTTATAGAGCAATTTCATGTGTCTGTGACAGAGAAAAAAGAGATCTGGGAGAAAGCAAACTTGCGTCATGGGAAGGAGAAAGGGTGGCAGATCTGATCAGGATCTGTGGGAGGATGATGCCCTCTTGGAAGGGCAAGCCGGCACCCAGGGCAGTATTCTGCTGCATTGCAAAAGTTGCATTTCTACATATGGGAAAAGAATTGAGGTTGCAGCATGCTAGTTTTTATCCCAGAAGCAAGGAATGACATCACAAGTGCGTCAAGAAAGTAACCTCCCCATCCAAGGATGTGGTAAGGGGCTTGTTTAACTCTGTGTACATATAAGGCAACATGACAAATTCCTAGAGCATTTCCAGCCCTTGTCATCACTAGGCTTGTGAGCAAATTAGGAACAATGGAAATAAGTATCATTACCACTATTTTATAAGAAGGCCCCATGGAACTGAAACAAAGCAATTTGTATAAAATCACCCAGCAATCCAGCAGCAGAGCCTCGACAAGAAGATGGAGTCTCGTGCGGCTCTATCCATTAGGTTGTACTGCATCATAACACAGTAAATCTCAGTGCATATAACTCATTTACCCATGTTTTACATTTACTGCTAAAAAAGGTTTTAAATGTGGCTTAATTGTGTCTTTAGAGATCAAATATTGCTATCATCTTTGAATCTTAACAGTCCCTTCTCTGATATTCTCTCACCACCTTTCCAGAGAGTCCAAGCTGTATCGAGTTCCAGCAATCTGATTACCACCATATTTCATAGCTAGGTTCAATCTGACTCATCATGTTTATCAGGTGGAAATTATGTGAGGAAGCAGAATGAGAGGCACCAGTGTTCTTCCCAAACATCTCCATGGAAGGTGAGCAGAGGACTGTGAATTAAAGTTTTCTTTGTGACTTTCTCTGTGCTTTATGCAAAAACTTCAGCCGTGTAACTGAAGGCACTGCAAGTTCATTTTATCCCAGCAGGGTACAGTGAAGTCCCAGGCTGTTCAGGAAGGCAAATGCACTCTGTCTGCATGAATAGTCCTTCCTGGACCATGACTTTTTGTTTCTGGAACTGAAATTTGCTCTGGATTACATTATTGACAAAAAGGTCTTTAATTCACCTCAGTAGTCCAATCACTTCCTAGAGGGCTATATTAGTAATGTATCAGAAACTCAGATTAAACCCAAAAGCTGTCATAAATATCTAAATATCTATTTGTCTAGGCCAAATTAATACACCAAATATAACTAATTTACGCTTGAGGAAAGGAATTCCTCTGATGGCTGAGAAAAAAACAGAAAAGCATAGAGGTTAACCCAAGTATTTAAATGGATTCTTTCAAGGGAACAGAAAACATTTGTCCAACAGTTTCTGGTGGTCACACTTACCACTTGTAGCAGAGCCAGGTACCCAGCACCAACATTATCAAAGTTAACTTTAACTTTTGTCCAGTAAAATGTGCCTGACACATTATAGAGTATACAGTCACTCATGTTGTTAATAATTTTAGAGTCTAAAGGCATATCTCCTTCTGTCTTATTAATGCACTTCCCAAACTTTCCAGCAAAAAGGTTCACTCCCATGATGCTGAAGATGAGCCAGAAGATGAGGCAGACGAGCAGAACATTCATGATGGAAGGGATGGCTCCCACAAGTGCATTGACCACCACCTTAGGGTAAACAGCAGAGGAAAAACAGAATTAATGTCAGCACTTACACAGACACTTCACTAAGAAGTTGTTGTGGGCCCTTGATTAACTGGGCTGAACCTTCCTCACATGGTGGCAGGCGGGTAAGTATTAACACTACCTAAGGAGACAGATCACCATTAAAGGCTTCACACAAAATAATTATTTTTCCCTTTTTGTAATTGAAGAGCTAATCTGTTGGCATCCCACCGATGGGATGATGGGTTTTCAAGAGGAATCTTTTAATTCAAGTACAGTCTGTGAAGTCATCTTGACCTCTAAAATCCTACTGGATAATGCACTTCAGCCAAACTATCTTTCATAATCATACGATTAATTGGAAATGGCTGGGGTGTACACCACAGTGCCTTGGTTTTGGCTGGGATAGTTTAATCTTCTTCCTAGTAGCTGGTACAGTGCTATGCTTCCTGGCTTTAGTCTGAGAACAATGTGATAACACACCAATGTTTTAGCTGTTCCCACATAGTGCTTACCCTGATGAAGGACATTTCAGTCTCTCATATTCTGCCAGTGAGGAAGGGCACAAGAAGCCGGGAGGGAGCAGAGACACGACACCTGATCCAAACTAGCCAAAGAAGTATTCCATACCACAGCATGTTGTGCCCAGTATGAAAACTGGGTGTTTGTCAAGAGGTGACAGGCTGGGCATCAGCCAGTGGGTGGTGTGCACCACTTGGGGGTTTATTTGATTGATTATTTTATTTCTTTCTATTAGTGTTATTATTATTATTTCAACAATATTATTAATCTTATCATTATCATCATCACCATCATCATTATTATCATTATTGTTATTATTGTATTTTACTTTATTCCAATCATTAAACTGTTCTTACCTCAACCAATAGGGTTTACCTTTTTGTTTATTCTTCTCCCCATCCCACCAGGGCAGGGAGAAGGAAGAGGAAGTGAGTGTGCAGCTGCATGGTCCTTAGCTGCTGGCTGGGCTTGAACTGTTACTCACAGTGTCTCAGACAAAAAGTATTTCTGAAATTTTTACTGAACTCAGGCCTCCCTAGTCTTTGGGATGTGAAATCCAGCTGTGCAAATTTTGCTTGTTTAAATAATAATTGATTGAGAAATACTGTATTAATCCAGATTCCCCTGTCTGATAAGCATGCATGATTAAACCAGTGGATCCATTCTAATGTAGCAAAAAATGCATTATTTTTCCCTGTGACATGCTGTAAAGTTCCTACACACCAACCCAGGCAGGGCTCTAAAACCCCTGTGTAAAAGCACACGTAAAAATGAAAGGCAAAAGGAGCTTTTAAAGTGTGGGAATGTTGCCACTGGACACCTTCCTGAAGGAATGCAAAAGAAATAAATGTCAGACCATCTACAGATCCTCTACAGTTGTGAGGCTTGAATGCAGCAGTATAATACCAGTACATCAACCAGGCAGGATGCACCTCATTTAGCGTTTTGAGCATTAATACACTTATGAGTGCCAAATGTTATACTAATTGACATTTTCTGAGGGAAGAACACTATTGCAAAATGTAGTTTTTCCTTTCCTATGTCAAAAAGGTTGCTCCATATTCACAGCTTTTGGAGATGCTGCCATTGCATGGTCCAGGCAAGGAAGCCTGTGCAGACATCAGACCCTCTACATGAATTTGTCTCCTTCTTTGTCTCATGCTTTGGAGATTAAAGTCTGGTAGGCAGACACTAAGCTCTTTCACTTCTCCATCTACATTTCTGAAACTGAGACAAGATTATATCGATCCATAAAAATTAAATTTTATTCCACGACTATAGGAAATACCAGCTCTCGCATTAGTGTCCAATTTTCTGAGAAGATAATAATGCAACATTTGTTTCCTCATCATTTATGCATTACTGAGGAAGAAAAATACCCAGAGGAGAAGAAAGATTTCCAAATCAAGCACTTATTTGGGTATAGCCTTGGCCCTTGTCAAAGTAGCTTCATTTGCTGCTATGCAGGACAGTATTTTTGTTCAATTTTAATGCATGCCAGCACAGAGCCACTGCACTTATGTTGCATATGCTGCTGAGTGCAGCTCCCACCAGCAAGCCCTGTGACAGGACAGAGACTTCCAGGTTTCAGCAGTGGAAGTGATGGCCATGCTTGCATCCTGCTTTTTTCCTTCTGCTGATTTATATTCACTGGCTTGTAGATAATAAAACACGACATGAGTCTGGAGCAAACCCTGTAACACCTCTCTGAATAAATTATTAACAGGGGGTTTCATTCTTCTCTCACTACTTCTGCTCTTACACCAGCATGATGCCATTTGGTCTGCTGGAAGCACTCCTGATTTGTTCTGAGACAAGCAATAGGACTTAAAGACCTGGATACATAAAAGCAAGTTATTATCATAAATTCATGTTAAAAGTTCAGCTGCAAAGCTAGCCATGGAAAGGGCTGAATTTCTGCTGCATCTAGGAATAGCAACACATATAGCCATATATAAGAAAAGTCTTTGTACCTCTTGATTTCCATTAGCATCTTTGTAGGCAAAACCACAAGGTGACTTCTTTAGGGATAATAAAAAACCTGAGCCACTCTCTACTCTAGTCCACAGTGGTGCAAATCATAGAATCATAGAATAGTTAGGGTTGGAAAGGACCTTAAGATCATCAAGTTCCAACCCCCCACTGGCTCTCATGGGCCATCTCCTCAGTTGAAACTGATTCAGATTTTAGATCCAGAAATAGACTTGCATGCTTTGTTTATCTCCCCTTTGCTATAACAGAGCCCACCAGACTTCCCTCAGTATTTTCGGGCTCAGGCTATAACTCCCAGCCAAGCCTGGGCAGATCTTTTGCAAATACATCTGATTTACAGTGTTGTGAACTCAGCAGATGAAAATTTTATCATCAGATAGTCTATTCCTGGTGTCCTTTGTCCTCATTGTCAGAAACAGGTGCTGTATTTTTAGGTTGAATTTGCTGAACTTGAGGCACTAGCCAACTGTTGTTAGATATCTTCTATCAATCCTGTCTTCACTGTAGGTGAGTTACCACTGCACATGGCTTTGGGTAATTAAAAAATCAGCTTTTTTCAAACTGCCACAGTTCCTCCAGATTTCTAACCATGCTCGTAGTTCCCTGCAGAGAATTTCCCATTTTTAACACCCACTTCTCAGCAGTTTGGTGGAATTCCAGTGTTGAAGCACTGCCCTCTCCCCCATTTGACGGGTTATTTCCCTGCATATTTAGGGATTGTAATAGTCACCTCATTTATCGGACCTGCCCAAAACTTGGTATACCGTTGAGCAGTCATCCCAATCCCTAAGTCCTTCTCAGCTGCTGTTTTCCAAGATACATCCCCAGAGTGACCTACTTTCCTCCTCCTGAGGTATATGATTTATTAAAATGCATGTTGTACAATTGATCTGTTTTTCACAGAATTGCAGAATCACAGAATCCCAAGGGTTGGAAGGGACCTCAGAAGATCATCTAGTCCAATCCCCTTGCAAAAGCAGGGTAACCTAGAGTACATCACACAGGAACTTGTCCAGGCGGGCCTTGAATATCTCCAGATATTCAACCATATCCAGATATTCACCATGATCCAGATCAGTCAGTGTGATTTCCTTATCCTTAATATCATTTATTACTCCGCTCACTGTGTGTGTTGTCAGCAAAGATTTTAAATTTTCTTCCAGATGCTGTTAAAGTCCATATTAAGGGCAGTTCTAATTCTGAAGGATCCCTCACCCTGAGATATTAATCACTGAATTTACAGTGTCATCACTGTAAATCATTACTTTTTGAGATCCATCACCCCTTTTAAATTAATTTAAAATATGTTTAATTGGCTTGGTACAAATCTCATGTTTTCATCACAGTGTCCCATGGTTTCAAATTCCTTTCTGAAATCTAAGGATATTCTATCAGCACAGTTACCGTCATCAGCATAATTTGTAATCAAATCAAAGGACCATATCGGTTTTACAAGAACTATTCCCATGAAATCATGCTAACTAGCATTAATTATGCTATTTCTTTCCTGCATGTATCTTGTAGCAGCCTCGCCATGACTTTGCCTAGGATCATTTTCACATTGAATGGTCTCTCATCATCCCACTCACTGTTTTAAAATACTGCACTAACCTCCTGTGCTGGGAAGAAACTTGCAGGGAAGTGGCATGTCTGAGATAATTCCCTGATGGACACAAAGGAGGAGACATAGGAAACTTCATGATTTGGTTCAGGAAGACCTATGTTAATTTACGTGGTGCTCCAGTATGGCTGAAATGCAGTGAGGGAGGCAGGGTGGGTGGCATGTGCATGGAAACCCACAGCATCTAGGGTAACTGCCAGGTGGCATCCTGGTCAGATTGGGGTCTTTTGAGGGGACAGAGGAGCAGGATGGCAACAGTTCAGCCTTATTTGGCAGACCTCTACTGGAATGGGAGCTGCTCACACTTGTGTCAAACTTTGACTGCTCCCAGACTGTTTGAAGACGAGGAAAGGACTGAAGCCTGATGGTAACAGGTCCTCTTGGCCATTCCAGTGCTACTCTGTGCCTCTGCCCCAGGACCCACTGTTTTCAAAATTTAGGTACATAATGAAACAAGTCTTTTATACTGCAGTATAAATGAGAACTTTCTTGTTCCTGTTCTAGTCATGCAGAGATCTCTCAGTTATTCAAGAAAAAGACATTATAATAGAGGAAACTATTATTATTTTCTCACTGTCAGTGTTTGTTTCTCAACATTATAATTACTTAATCCATCACCACACTGCCAATTTTCCCGTGCATTTTGTAGCATATGAACTGCTAATAATGAAAGGTCTAGCTGTCCCTAGTCATGTTAAGTGTGGTTAGACAAACTAAAGCTAAAATGATTTGATTTTCCAATAGCACGTATTCTCAATTACACTTTATCATATTTACAAGCTAATTCACTGCCTCCCATAGCACAGAATGACTGAATATATTTCAGCTGCAGCAATGGTACAGGGAAGAAAAGGGATGTTGAGTCAGAAACCAGGGAGGCCTACACGTATGAGCATGTTAGGAAGGAAATCTGCTCGGGTGATGCATGTGTCTATGCCACATAAGATCTCCAGTAAGTTAACTTCTTTCTATTTGCAGATAAAGATGAAAACTTTTTCTCATTGTTTCTTTCAATTATCTGTCTCACTGTTTTTATGCTTTGGGCTAGTCTTCACACTGCGTTTCAGGTTTGAATCCAACTTAGCTAAACTGATGCAAAGTCATGAGTGAACATTCTTATGTCAGTTTAGAATACTGTAAAGGGGTTTTGCTTGAATTTGCAAATCCACCAGTAGAAACTAAGCCTTCAAAACCAGATTTAAATTGATTTGAGAGAGCCCATGCACAAATCACTTTGGTAGTTAAACTAGTGCAGCTTTGGCCAGTACCAACTTTTGCTCAATTTGCGAATGCTTAATGAAGAGAGCATGAAGTCATCAGATGACATAGGAGTGAGAGCTTTAATTAACGTTAGTAGTACAACGTCACCTTTTGCCAGCTGAGGATCTGCAGTTTGCTTTTGGTTTATCTTATGAATAATTTTTGAAATATTGCTTCAGTTGAAAAGGATGTGATGAACAAAACTCTGGTTTCAGAGCCTAAATGAATGGAGCCTTTTGAATCATTCTGTCTTAGTACTAACACACAGGAGAGTGGTCTGCAACTGATTTGTCCGATCTTCATCCACAAAAATAATGTAGTTTAGGTGATCACAAGATCTGGAGCAAAAAAACATATATCCCCAATTCTTGTCATCCACAGAAGAGGCAAAGTCTGGGTTCAGGTTTTAATAAACTGCTCTGTCACCATATTTCCTCAGTTATCTCTGTCATTAGGCTCCCTAGTCTTCAGTCTGTCTTACTGCAAGGGTATTGCAATGAGAACAGTTAACTGTTAGGAGCTCAGTGCATGAATTACACATTTTAGTTACTGATGATTTGGACCAAAATTTTGTCCACAACAAAGCTTTATCCTGAATATACCTCTATGAACGATGTAGCATTTTCATTGGCCTAGTAGGGAGATTTGGAATCATCAGGGAATGTAAGTTGGTTTATGCGTAATTTTGTTGCAGATTTGCTTTATTTTGCTATGTGATCTCATCTTGCTCTACAAGATTAACAGTAACCTCAGTTTATACAAAGCACAGTTGTTATCATCTGCAGATCTTGCAGATCATCTTGCAGATCTTGCAGATGGTGCAAAGAGTTAAATAAAGTGCTTACTAGACAATAATTGTGTAGCAGGTAGGCTTAACAAATAATCAGGTATGCTGTGTGGATATAGCCATGCTGGCAAAGGAAGGGAATGCAGAGGAAGGAGATGGATGCACAAGATGGAGAAATGAACACAAGCTACATGGTTTTAATATTAATCCTGACATTCCATGTTAAAACTGCAATCTGTTCAATGGAAAAGTTTTACATATTCATTCATTTGCTTTCCTATCTTTAGCATTTTTAATTTTTGCTTTAATTATTAGTGAAAAAATCCTTAAGAACTTTCCTAGTCAGTCTCATTTTAATGCATGTCAAAAGCAGGGAGCAAACTTGTAGCTTGGCTATTCCCCTGGTGTGTCTTATAATTGAGAGGTAATTGTTAGCCAGATGCTTCCTCGACCAAAAAGCTGTTTTTTAAAGTGCAATATGACAAGTTAGGCAGCAGGATAAGTTCATCATTAAATCCACCTGAGAATAAAGACATAATGATACAATTGCGATTAAGGCAAAGGAGGGATTTCTGATTTTGTTGTTTTGGCAGACACAGTGAAGACAAAACCATGTGCAACAGTTCCCTGTTAGTTAATATGCTTGATGTCACAGAGTTGAGCTTTGACTGATGCTTTATATACTCTTACCCTCATCCCTTCAAATCGTGACAACGCTCTTAATGGCCGAAGAGCTCGGAGAGTCCTGAGGGATTTAATGGGACCCATCTCAGAGTATCCAAGTGTATTGGCGATGAGGCTTATTAAAGACACCTGAATGGAGACACAGCAAAAATCCAGTCTGTTAGTATACTCCTGCCATTTTCCTTCTCTTCTGACTTTCCTTCCTGAAAAGAGTTGGTTAATGAAAAAGTGGAAAAAAAAATCTTAAACCATTAAATTAGATCAACACAGAAAAGAGTTTTACATCCACACATATACTGAGCTGCTACCAACTCACAACACCTTTGTTTTCACTTTAATGCAAAATTTACAGAAATACAGATTTTCAGAGCTTCTTTTACCTAAGCACACAGAAATCCTCTTAATGTCAACTCGCAGTCTGTATGAGAAAGGAGATCACTCTTATAAAAACACCATTCTGTGATGCCTGTGCTATAGGTCTCCTCAATGTGTATCTTCCACAATTGGAAATATGAGTCACCTAAGTGTTATAATTTAGGGCTTTCTGGATGAAAGCGCCTGTAAGATCTAACCATTTTCAGCAGAGAGAAAAGATTTTAGCATTACCATTCAATTACTAATCTTAAACTTACTGATTAGAAACAAGTCTTCTAGATTACTGATAGTCATGACTTTATACCATAGACTGTAAAAGAATGATACACATTACTCTCTGATTCTGCACTTTTTCACTTTTTCTGGTACCTGCACAGACTCTAAAGGAGAAGGAAACCTGCCAGGTGCTCAACGTTGAGATTCGTATCTCTTAAAGACTATTTCTTTGAAATAAAATATCAATTTCCAAATCTGGGAACAGCATGGAGGGGTTCCAATGCTCTTCAAGTTCTCAGAACTTTTGTAGTGCCCAGCTGGTCAGAAATGTGGATGCTTTTGGGCACAGGACAGGACTCAGGATGAACTGAATAGCAGCGGAGATTACGGGTCAGATTAACAATCACATGAAGCAATTGGGTTTCGTATGCTCAAATCAGCATTCATGGCCTGAATTCTTACTGAGCAGGGAGTGAGAAACAAACAGCTCTCCAATATTATAAGTATCATGACAACTTATGTGTATTAACAAAACCCCACAAATTAATTGCCATGTATAAAATGTTGTTTTCTTAGAAGAGAGAGATTTGTACATATTGCTTATCCCAGTTCCCATCCTCTTATCTTTATCCATTTTCACAGCCCCAGTTATCACAGTATCAGATTATCTTACATCTCTATGGAGCAACCTTTCTCCTGAATATGCACTAATTTATGTATCAGCCCTGTCTGCACAGCTAAGCATCTTTGTAAAACTTGATCAACTTGTTAAATTATTTACCTATTAATGGCTTTACTGTGGCATGTGGTTGACAGCAAGTCTAAGGGCAGCAGGTCTCAGAGACACCAAGCCTGGGCTGGATGCAGTGAGCTGGATATGTGCAGGGATAAGACCGCCCACCTCTGCAGATGACTAAGAGGTGCAGTGGAGGATTGTAATGCTTTAAAATGTCACTCTTCAACAAGGTGTGACACAAACTCAGCTCCTGTGTACAGACCCAGCAGTGGATGAAGAAGGGAGTTCTTAATAAACACTTCTGCATTTTGGCAGTGAGTGTGCTCTAAAAGTAGACAGGCAGACTGGATTCCAGGTCTGATGTCTTAGGCCTCTTAGACACTGGGCAGGTAAAAATCACCAGTGAAGCTTTTCCTTCCATCTTTAAGAAAGCAGATCTGAACCTGTGACATGAGCATGCCTAAGAAGTTATTTTATAGTTAATAATGCTATAGGTATTGCATGCTTCTTTCACCACAATCCTGCTCAGCCAACGTTCACAGTTAAAAATCTGGTTTGGCTTAATAACCATCTCAATCTCACCAATGCTTCTAAATTTAGGCAATACCCATTTTCTGTCCTCCGTATTTCTTACCAGCCTTGATTACATCCTATACTCTCAAGCTGCATTAATGTACAGTCCAAAGCCTTCTACTTTCATTCACTCCACCCATTGACTTAATGCTGCTTAAATAATGAGAAAGGGCTGAAGGATTTGTCTAATATCAATAAGCAAATGTGCAGCACACTTATACACTAAATCCATTGAAATGAGGCATCTTAAAACTGTAATATAACTGGTATTACTGAGATACCATGATAGAAGTAACACTATGGCATATATTTTTATCTTTGATGGAAAGATTAGTGCAGAAAATGGCCTAAACTCCACAAAGCCTTGGAGTTTCCTATCCAGACAGGCTAGAGGTGTAAGGAAAACAGCTCAATGATAGTATGCTCAGAGACAGAAACCAAGATCCATATCCTCACATACCAAGGGAAACTCACTCATGTGTAAAATGAATATAGGTATTTAAAAGAAAATTAATCAAATACAGAGCATCCAACACCCTTTTTTGCTAACTTCATCCACAAGCTAAATCTCAGATCTTCTCAAGGTCTCCACAACTGCCTGTTTCCCCTCTCATCCCAAATTTATGTCCTATAATTGCCCTTTCAAGGCAGAAGACATTCTATTCAAATCCTTCAAGACCAGACTTTGGATCTGAGCGAGTTATCATTTTCTTCAGAGTGCCATAAATGTCACCCTGAAACACATCACAGGTGCTGTTGTCCTCCTGACACAGATTTACACAGCATTAGATATGTCTTCAGAGGATTAGGCCATGAAGCTGTGTGATATTTGGCAATGATTTATAAGGCTGGAGTCAGAACTGAGTTTGAGACAACATGTTTAAAAGCTTGGATGTTGGTTTTGAAGGTATCCCCGTCAAATTTTATTTATAGGAGAACTAAAAGCACAGAGACTTGGCCATTTCAACTTGATTAAAAGTGACCAGAAGGCTATTTTTAGGGAAAAAATCAAGCAGTTCTCAAAATTGGTGTTGACTGCCCCACATAACCACAGCAAAAAGTAAAGTCAGCTGTTTCTCTTGCTTTTTTTTTTTTTCTGTTACAAGGCAGCCCAGAGCTGCTCTAAGGTTCTGCTTTGTGCTCTGGTTGGTATCAGAAATGTGCTGGCACCCAGAAGACACCCCCAGGGTTAATGTAACCTCCGGATTCACAATATGGCACACATTTCTAATCCTTTCAGTATCTATTTGCAGATAGTTTTGTATTTTTTTCAGGAAAAAATCCAACTTTAAAGAGCAGGTAGCACAGTAATGCTGTAGAGAGCAGCTGAATCCTATGGAGTTACTATTGCCTGAAACATTGCCCTTAAAATGCAGAGTCTGTGGTTGGGCTTGAGTTTTCACCTCCACCTTTCACATGGCTTGCTACAGAGTCCTCCATCCTCCTGTGCACTTCTTCTGACCCAAGAAGACTTATTATTGTTCTCAATTGGAAATGCTCTGCTTCTAGCATTTCCCTTGAGGGGCTTTCCAGAACATGCTAGATCATACAAGGAAGCTTTCATAGTTTTCCATCTAAAACTTCCTTACATTAAACCAAGTAATAATATCCTCCATATTAGCCTGAAACTGTTCTTTACCCCTTGACATGCTGTTCATTTGTGCCTTCGAATTCTCCAGAACAATGTTGTCACTGGAATTTTCTACCTAGTGTGAACCCCAGTGTACAACCTGGCCAGCAATGAGTGTCCCAAAGGTGGGACCTGGTCCTCATAAATCAGTGTATGTAATCCTGCCTCCACAGACATTAATGATAAAAATCTCACCAGTTGCACATGCTAGGAATTCAGTCACGTAGCAGCTCTTCCATTTTGCTTTCTTCAGATCATCTGAAAACAGCCCAGCAGGACCCTAGCCTCAGTACTGTCAGTGACTTCCCAAAATGTATTCCTATAGACCTGTATTCCTATATTTTTATATTCTTACATATTTCTGTGCACGTTTATCTACATAAATTTTACAATGATTTGTATGACAGTCTCATGGACCTGGGTAAAGGGAGACATAAATAAACGCCACAGCTTTCCTTTTGCCATTTTCAGCGTTATGCTCAAGGAAAAATAATTAGAGCTTTTAAATCTTGTGACTGCATTGAACACTAGAAATACCAGCCATGGGGATTACCAGGCCTGTGGCTGGTGCTCTGAAAGCCAAGCTCCTGTCATCTGTGTGGCTTAGTGGCATTAGCAGCATGAGTCTAGAGTGCCCCATTGTATTATATTTGTATGTGTTTCCAGGGTGGAATCAAGAAGAATCAATGAGTTTAGTCTGCTAGAAGACAGGCAGTGATCTCTGAAGAGAGGTTAGACTCACTGATAGCTGTTCAAAGTTATTGCTAGTATGTTCTAATAGGAGTAATGCCTGAATTTCTTCATTATTTTGACAATCTATTACTAGATTATACTTGATTGGATTATACTTGGGAATTTTGTTTTTTCAATAACTAACTCTTGCATTTTTGTTTTATTATTTCGGTGTAATACTGTCATTCTTGAGATGAGATATGCAACTGATGTATTTGTACCCTGGTGGCACCCATGCAGTGTTAGATTCCCAGCGTGCTCACCACTGGCGCTCACAGTAATTCAGCAGTTAACAGATACACAGCATTTCTGGACCATTAAGATAGTTCACTATGAACACACAGAGATAAAGTTATACAAGGGGTATATATGTCTTCATTATCTGACAGTGACTTAAGAAATCAGTGTTGTAAACTAATGTAAACCCCAGTAAAGCTGTCAGCAGAGTATTTTAAGGTTGCAGAAAAACAATTACAAAGTAGGGAGAGCAATAATGCAGCTTCCTTACAGCACACGCAGGGGAAACAGTCTCTAATCAAAAGATTACAGACTTTTTCCCGAGGAGCTATTGCATTTATAACACTAGTGGTGTCCCTTCCTATATGCATACATTTTAATAGCATATAAATTACATGCACAGACTCCCTAGATATGAAATTATGCTGGTGGTGCAATCTGAAGGGTGCACTCTTTGGGAGCAGTGTTTTGCCTGAGGCTAACTGAGTTTCCTACAGCAAGGAGGTGGGTTTGAGCCGGAACAGGGGCTCCTCCTCTCTTTTTTGCGTTCCTTTCCAACACCCTAAAAGCACATCATTTCAGATAATCAGTGGGCATCTACTGGACTGAGCTGGAAGTAGACCTGAGTAG